TGTATGTGTATACATATATATATATATATATATACACACTGATTTCTTCTCCGGTGCCAGGCATAGTACTAGCAATACTAAGAATAAAAAGATGAAGATGGTGGTGTCTGCCTATATTTGTCAGGATTCAGTTGCAGTTAATAGAAAAACATTTTGACTCTTTTAAAAGCTGGGAGAGATGTAATACAGGGAGTTAGATTTTTACTAACTTATTGGATAGGCTGGAGGAGGCGATTCCAGGTGTGACCTCAAGAACCACACTCCAGAACTAGCCTGTCAAGGAGCTGTACTGGCTGCTACCGCTCCTGCAGTCAGGAAGGTTAGATGTGGTCTGGTGAACTGGAGGCTGCTCTTGACAGGACTGTTGGTTCTGTCTGCACCCACAAACTGGCTGCCTTTTGCCTCATGGTCTGTCTTCCCACTTCACTGTGTCCCAAGTTTATGTTTCTCTCTGGTGGACCTGATTGGCATGCCCCTGATCGTATCTGGAACCCTGGCTGCTAAAAGAGTCTGGGAAATGTAGTTCTTTCCTTCCAGCCTCTGCAATACATGAAATACAACAGGAGTTTGGAATAGATGGTTGGTTGAAGAAACCACATTAGTATACCTATCACACTGCTTCTGAAAAGGAAAGACAAGGATTTAAGTCACCTCTGACATGGTTTTGAGTAGACGGGGTCCAGGATGGTAAATCAGAGTGTGCCAGAGGAGAAAGGGCTGGTGGTGCGAAGGCTCCCTCAGGATGGTGAAGGGATGAGTGGCTGAAGCCAAGGGAATAAATGAGATTATTCAAGTGTGCGTGGACCTCATTCATTGGATGTTCTCCCAGAAACAGGAAGATAGCCTTGCCGCTCAGGACTGGTGTGAAGGTGCAGATGACTGGGGAAGTGACAGTGAGGAGGTGCCTCCACCACGGGTTACTTTGGATTTTGGAAATGATGCTAACAGTGCCAAACACATAGACTGGTCAGCCCAGCTTCAAGACCTTAGCCTGCAGGATGCTGTCCTGGATGCTGCTCATCCCACACCTCCTGGGGAAGAGCTGTCTTTGCCTGAGGTGCCACAGTTCCTGCCCTACTACATCAGTGTCGTGGATGAGGATGATTACAGGGACTTTGTCAATCTAGATCATGCCCATGGTCTCCTGAGGGAGTATCAACAGAGAGAAGGAATTGACATGGAACGGTTGCTTTCCCAAAGGTGAGAACATGCTACTGAGGTTGAGAGGTGACTTGGGCAGGAAGCTACCCCAGTAGGTACCCTTTGGTTTTACCCCAGTACCTGGGGAAACTTTTGCAGGCAGGACTCGTGGGGTGGGGATAGGGGGTCGGAGTGGGGGACCTTTCTGCTTCACTCCTCGTGGATGAGGAAGGAGATAGAGAAAAGGGGATATGTCCTTCTCAGCCACCCTTGAGTGCGCTTAGAAACATTTTCCTCTGTTTATAGTGCCCTGAAGAAGATGAACAGATACAGAAGTCAGGAATGCCACATATTTATAGAAGATACGTTCACTAGCTACTTAACTTTTCTTTTAAAAAATGTCTTTATAGCAGAAACAGGTGCATTAGGAAGCTGCTGCTCGTGGCTGTGGCTTGAGAACAGGCCCAGGACCTGGCAGTCCAGGCTTGAGGCCAGACTACCATTGACTCTCCTGGAGCCTCAGTTCTCAAATGGGAGTAATAATGGTGTCTTTGTTGTTTACCTTGTCCGATGATTTTGAGAGTCACAAGAGAGAATGGATCTTGAAAGCCTTTATAAGCCAAAGCACTGCTAAGAAGTAAGGATGATCATTTTAGTTATTACAATACACGTAGTCCCTGACGTATGATGGGGTTCTGTTCTGATGTCTCCGTCCTAGGTCGAATACCTCTTTTTCTTTTCTTTTTTTTAGTTTTCATTATTACTGCCTTTTATTATCGGTACCTTTATAAATTCGATCTTTATTTGTCTTTGGTGGTTGGAAACATTACATATACACTTACAGATATATTTTAATACATACATACATAAAAAAATACACAAATCATAAAAATTTGCTCTGATGATGAGGAAGAGTTGGATGACTTTGGCATTTTGTCAGTTTGGTAATAACTCCACTTGTGGAAGATTTTAGATCATCTGATTATCCCTGGAAGTGAGGATGGGGTTTCTAGTCAGAAAATTAGGGAGAGTTGTCTGTACAGTTGTTTTCTGTTTTTTGTCATATATTTTAAAGAAACATCTCACTGCTTCCCATATCTGCCTGTTGACTTCAGCGAAGCGGTCAGCGTTTGGGTCCATGTTTTCAAGCAACTGAAGCTCCTGATTTAGTTTAGAAAATTAAATCTATATGGCATTGTTTTGAACAGTAAATCATAACATTGAATATCTGAGAATGATAACATCAGCAAATTACATGCCGCAACATTTTGCATGTAGTACATATTAATGATAAGATTTACCAAAAAAAAGGACAGTCATAAAAGCGTGTCTTAGTTATCTAGTGCTGTTATAACAGAAATACTACTGGCAGATGGCTTTAACAAAACGAAGTTTATTCTCTCATAGTCCAGGGGGCTAGAAGTCTGAATTAAGGGTGCCAGCTCCAGGGGAAGGCTTTCTGTCTCTGTCCACTCTGGGGGAAAGTCCTCGTCATCAGTCTTCCCCTGGTCTGGGAGCTTCTTGCGCAGGAACCTCGGGTCCAAAGGATGCGCTCTGTTCCCAGCGCTGCTTTCTTGGTGTTATGAGGTCCTCTACTCTCTGCACACTTCCCTTTCCTTTTATCTCTTGTGAGATAAAAGATGATGCAGGCTACACCCTAGGGAAATTCCCTTTACATTGGACCAGGGATGTGATTTGAGAAAAGGTGTTATACCCCACCCTAATCCTCTTCAACATAACCCAGTCCTGCCTCATTAACCACAGGCAGAGATTAGGATTTACAACACATAGGGAAATCACATCAGATGACAAAATGGTGGACAATCACACAACACTGGGAATCATGGCCCAGCCAAGCTGACAGATATTTTGGGGGACACAATTCAATCCATGACAGCATGGTTCGTTGTAACTAGAATATGTCATAAGTCAGGGACTACCTGTAGTAGCATTACAATAACATATTTGGAGAGATGACCTGGTTCTTTGCCAGGGTTGTTTCATTTGCAAGTTTTTTTAGAATCATGTTAACGGGGAGTGCATGAAGGCATGTTGGTGTATGAAAAGAATGTATAATGGAGAGAGAAAAAACATTTAGCATAATGACTTTTTAAATTGCAAATAATTACCCCAGCGTTGAAAATGGCTGGGGAGCAGAGCTTGGGAGAGGGCTTGGGTGGGGAGCTGCTGTTTTCCCTTACAAACTATTACATTGTGTTCATGTGTAAGTTGTGTGCAAGCATTACTTTGATAATTTTTTTTTTTTTAAAGAAAGCTATCTTGTTTACTCTTCTAAATACTGTAATTCTCTGGATGTAAACACTTAGAAGGTTTTCTGCTTCTCTTAGTCTTTCTAGTGATGGTGGTGATGAAAAATATGAGAAGACCATAATTAAAAGTGGAGATAAGATGTTCTACAAGTTCATGAAGAGAATTGCAGCTTGTCAGGAACAGATTTTGAGGTAAAGGAGGCATATTTTCTTTTATTGTATTTCCTGATTATATTGTAGTTTGGACAACACTAAATGAGGAAAGTATAATGAGAAAACCAAAATCCACAATATTCCCACAACCAAGAGAAAACCACTGCTAAGAACTCGATATATTAACTTCACATATTTTTTATGCATTTACATGCATGCGTGGATGTAGGTATGTGTATTTTTAAAGAACGTAATTGGGATCTTAGAGTGTTCATAATTTTTTACTTTTCACTAATTTTCGTTTGTATTTCTTATATTCAGATTTCTTTGAAAATTTTTTGTCTGCTTTTTTTAAAACTTAAATTTTGAATAGATAAATTCTTGAGTTCAAAAATGTAAAATATATACATATGTATATATATATATATATATATATAAAATAATTCTTTCCCAGCCATCCTCAATCTGCTCAGGTAGCCACTGTTACTAGTTTCATGTGTCCTTCCAGAGTTTCTTTATGCATGTACACACAAGTATGGTTATATGTTACTTACTCCCCCCTTTTTTACACAAAGGGAAGCATTCTAGACACACTCTGTATTCCTTTTTTTAAACTCCACACTGTATTCTTAGAGTGCTGTATCTTTTGAGTACATGAAGAGTACATGGTCTCTCGCACGTATAATCTATTTATCCCATTTCCTGGTTAGTGGACATTTAAGGTTGCTTCCAAACTTTTGCAACTACAAATAATGCTAATGAGCAATCTTGAACCTACTTCATATGTGCCAGGATATCTGTAGGATATGGCCCCCTGAAATGGTATAGTTAGAATAGAGGATATATGCAGTTGTAATTTTGATTGATAGCATCAAATTGACCCCCTTAGAGGTTGTATCAACTTTAATTCCTATTGATGATCTATAAGTGCCTGTTTTCCCATAGCCTTGTTAATTGTGTGAGTTTCGTATTTTTGTATTTCTGCTCGTTCAAGGTGAAAAAGAGCATCTTGGTACAATTTTACTTTGCTTTTTTCTTATGAGCATCTTTTCCTGTGTTTAAAAACCATTTCTATCTATTCATATCCCTTACCCATTTTTCCATACGTTCTTGGTTCTTTCAGTTTTTAGGAACTCTTTATATTAGGAGTTATATTGATTCCCCTTTATTGCAATTTTCTTAGTGTTTGATTTGGTTATGGGTATATCGTCATGTATTTAATTGCTCCCATCTGTTTCAGTTTTGCACAGTTTTAATGCTGCAGTAAGGAGCCCTTGTGGCACAATGGTTAGGCACTCGGCTGCTAACTGAAAGGTGTAGTACAAGCCCACCAGTGGTTCCTCAGGAGAAAACTCCTGGTGATCTGTTCCCATGAAGATTACAGCCTAGGCAGCCCTATGGAGCAGTTGTCCTCTTTCGTATAGGGTTGCTGTGAGTCGGAATCGACTCGACGGCACCCAACAACAAGAATGCTGCGTTACACATCCCCCTCCATAAATCTTAGAATTTTTTATAATTTTCCCATGATCTAGTTCTAGACGTGAAATTGTGAATTGAAGGCCTAAAGTTTAAAGGTTCCTGATACATATTATTTGACTAGTTTTTACTAACGGGTACAAAGCCAAACTTTACTGATGTGATTACACATCCTAAATGGCACCTAAATAAATGGGTGAAAATCCAGTTTATTTTGTTTCCCCTTGTTTTAATTAGGTATGTCAACTAGAAATCTCATGCCATGCTTGCCCTCATGAAAACATGTCCAAACCATGATACTTTCTACAGAATTTTCAGGTTGAGCAAACATCGATTAAGCATGTGGCACGGCAAAGGCAGTAATTCTCAGCTGGAGATCACTCTCTGGGATTAACCTCTTCACCAGTGAGAATCAATGCCCACAGTGAGCCGCTGCTGTTAAAGGACTGAGTTACCGCGTGCTGGGGTGGAAGGAGGATTGTGTGGAGCTGGAACAACCAACTGTATCCTGCTCACAGTGCCAGTTGCACAGACCTGTCCGGGGAGACTAAGATCACCCACCTCTGACGCCAGATTGTGTGGTGGATGACCGATCCTACTCCACACATCAACTGCGTTGTTTGGAAATCTTAGCTTTCCTTCCCTGGCCAGCTCAGACCCTGATGGTCCACACAGCCTTTTCTCTCATCCCTAGCCACCTGGGGCTAGGTCAGTGGGTACCAGCTGGAGGCTTGGGGGTTGCAGTGCAGTGGGTTTCTCTTATATATGGCCTTTCTGGCCTTGAGTTTATAATTCTGCCAAAGATGACTGGCTGAGCCACAATCTTGCAAGGGATTGGGTGATTACTACGCAAATAGGGTACGTAAAACTACCCAATAAGGATTAAGTGACCTTGCGGGGATTGGTAGGTTTATGGCCCAGCTACGAGGGCCATGCCTTGAAATTGAATATGAGGGCCAATCCCACAGAGGCTGAGGGGGACCTAACTACCATCAAGAGGAATCTGGAGCAGAGCATGTCCTTTGGACCCAGGGTCCCTGGCTGAGAACCTCCTAGACCCAGAAGAGAGAGCTGTAACACTGAAGGCAGCGAGAAGCAGCAGCAAACATAGTAGAACCCAGCAGCAGAGAAATGGTGGCAGCAGTGCAAATGGTGGAAACCAGGAGACTGGTGTGAGATGGCACAGTGGGCTTGCCAGCCCACAGAGAGAGAGAGACAGCTGCAGTGGGCTTGCTGGCCCACAGGGAGAGAGAGAGCTGAGCACCTTCACGTGGGAGGATTGCTGTCAGAGCAGGGTGCCTCTGGGCACTTGTCAGCAGAGCTAAAAGAGCTGTATCACTTGCATGGACAGGGCAGAGGCCCGACAAGGCCCAGCAGTAGCGATAAGGCCCAGTGGGAGAGGCAAGGCCCAGTGAGGCCCAACAGCTGAGAGAAGGGCTGCCGGCTGGCTGAATTGAGAGAAGGGCCTGCCTCTGGCACAGCCGAGAAGAAGCAGAGAGTTGTCTGGGTTGGAAGCTGTCCTGATTGACAAGGGAGGCTTGCTGGAAGAGCAGAGTGCTTCTAGGCACTTGTCGGCAGAGCTGAAAGAGCTGTGACACTTGCCCAAGCAGGGCAGAGGCCCAGGAAGCCCTAGTGGCAGAGACAAGGCCCAGCAGCAGAGGCAAGACCCAGTGAGGTCCAGCAGCCGAGAGAAAGGCCTCCGGCTGGCACTGCCAAGAGAAAAAGCTGAGAACTGTCTTGGTTGGAAATCATGCTGATTGACAAACTGTATCCTGTCTTCTCAGTTGTATCAACTTCCAAGTTGATCCTGATCCCAAGTTGTTGCCTATTCCTTCCCCAATAAACCACATAATCGTGAGTGTGGTCTGTGAGTTCTGTGTGGCCATTGCAACGAATTATCGTATTCAGCTAAGAAGTAGAGAGTGCTATGGGGAGGACAGCTGGTGTCTGAAATGGTAAAAACGTTGGAGAGTGGAGGTATGTCTGACTTACACCTAATAGGTAGTTGTGTTTTTTTTGAGGAAGTGTCATAACGTTTTCCATAGTGATTGTACCATTTTACAGTCCCACCAGCAATGGATAAGGGTTCCAGTCTCCCCGTATCCTCACCGACGTTTGTTGTTATCTGTTTTTTTTTTTAATCAGTGCCATTTTAGCCACTGTGGGTTTTCATGACATCTCATTGTGGTTTTTGTTTGCATCTTTCTAATGGCCAATGTTCCTGAGTATCTTTTCATTTGTTTGTTGGCCTCGTGGCCTCTAGAATGTCCTCTTTGGTGAAGCGTTTGTTCATGTCCTTTGCCTGTTTTTTAATTGGGTTTTTTGTCTTTTTGTTACTGAGTTGTTGAAGTTTTCTATATGTTTTAGAGATTAGATCATTTCCAAAGATCTTTTCTCCATCTGTAGATTGTCTTTTTATAAAGTCTTTTGGTGAGCATAAATTTAATTTTTATGAGGTCCCAGTTATCTAATTTGTCTTCTGCTATTCATGCATTTGTAGTTATGTTTGTTACCCTATTTTTATAACAAATTAGGCTTTGTATAGTTTTCTCCCTGTGTTTTCTTCTAGGAACTTTATAGCCTTCGGTTTAACATATAGGTCTTGGATCTGTTTTGAGTTAATTTTGTGTATGGTGTGAGGTATGGGTCCTGTTTCATTTTTCTACAAGTGGATATCCAGTTTTGCCAGCACCATTTATTAAAGAGAGTATTTCTTCTCCTTGGATTTGACCCCTTGTTGAAAATCAGTTGTCCATAAATGGATGTATTTATTTTTGGCTTCCCAATTCTGTTCTACTGGTGTATCTGTCTATCACTGACCCAGTATCAGGCTGTTTTGAATACAGCGGCTATATAGAATGTTTTGATATTGCGGAGTGTGAAGCCTCTTTGTTCTTCTTTTTCAGTAGCGCTTTGGCTGTTCAGGGCCTCCTTCCTTTCAGTACAGAATGTTGTGATTTGTGTCAGGATTGCATTGTATTTGTAGATCACCTTAGGTAGTACTGACATTTTCACTATTTTCAGTCTTCCAATATATGAGCATGGAAGGTCCTTTGATTTATGTAGGTCCCTTTTAGTCTCTTGTAGTAATGTTTTATAATTTTCCTTACATTAAGTCTTTTGTGTCCCTGGTTAGGTTAATTCCTAGGTATTTTTATCATTTTGGGGGTTATTGTAAATGGTATTTTCTTGATTTCTTTTTCTGAATGCTCCTTGTTAGTATAAAGGGACCTAACTGATTTTTGTGTGTTGATCTTGTACCCTCCAACATTGCTGAATTCTTCTATGTGATCCAGCAGATTTCTTCTGGAACCTTTAGGGTTTGCTATTATAGGATCATGTCATTGGCAAATAGAGATAGTTTTATTTCTTCCTTTCCAGTTTAGATACCTTTTATTTGTCTTTCTTGCCTTATTGCTCTGGCTAGGACTTTCCGTAAGTGTTGATTCAGAGTGGTGATAATGGGCATCCTTGTCTTGTTCCTGTTCTCAAGGGGAAGGCTCTCAGTCTTTCTTCATTGAGAATAATGTTGGCGCTTGGTTTTGCAGATATGCCCTTAATTA